GTGTGGGGTACAGGGTGTGGTCAGTGCCCGTGGTCAGTCGGTGTGGGGTACAGGGTTTGGTCAGTCAGTGTGGGGTACAGGGTGTGGTCAGTGCCCGTGGTCAGTCGGTGTGGGGTACGGGATGTGGGGTACAGGGTTTGGTCAGTCGGTGTGGGGTACAGGGTGTGGGGTACAGGGTGTGGGGTACAGGGTTTGGTCAGTCGGTGTGGGGTACGGGGTGTGGTCAGTCGGTGTGGGATGGGGTGTGGGGACATGGTCCATGTGTGTATTGGTCAGTTTGGGGACAGAGATATGGGAGGGTCACGGATGTGGGTCAGGATTGTGGGTCACGGATGAGGGTCACGGATATGGGGCTGGGGTGAGGGTCAGAGATGCGGGTCAGGGTCATGGATGTGGGTCAGGATTGTGGGTCATGGATATGGGGCTGGGGTGCGGGTCAGAGATGTGGGTCATGGATAAGGGTCACGGATATGGGGCAGGGATATGGACCATGGATATGGGTCACGGATATGGGGCAGGGATATGGACCATGGATATGGGTCACGGATATGGGGCAGGGATATGGGTCACAGGTATGGGTCACGGATATGGGGCAGGGATATGGATCATGGATATGGGTCACGGATATGGGGCAGGGATATGGACCATGGATATGGGTCACGGATATGGGGCAGGGATATGGACCATGGATATGGGGCAGTGCTATGGGTCAGAGATGTGGGTCAGAGATGAGGGTCGTGAATATAGGGCAGGGATGTGGATCATGGATATGGGGCAGGGATATGGGTCACAGGTATTGGTCACGGATATGGGGCAGGGATATGGATCACGGATATGGGGCAGTGCTATGGGTCACGGATATGGGTCACGGATATGGGGCAGTGCTATGGGTCACGGATATGGGTCACGGATATGGGGCAGTGCTATGGGTCACGGATATGGGTCACTGATATGGGGCAGTGCTATGGGTCACGGATATGGGTCACGGATATGGGGCAGAGATATGGGTCACGGATATGGGGCAGGGATGTGGGTCACAAATGTGGGTCAGAGATGTGGGTCAGGGACTCTCTGTGGGTCCGGGCGCTATGGGGCAGCCCCATAACCACCCCAAACCCCTGCAGGAATCCCAACGCTGCAGTTCCTGGCCTCCAGTTCCTCCCCACAGCCAGGACTGGAGGTTATGGGATTGTCTACGGGGTTGTCTATGGGGTTCTGTGGGGTTTGGGCTCTACAGGGCCGTGTTCTGTGGGGTTCTGTGGGTCCGGGCGCTATGGGGCAGCCCCATAACCACCCCAAACCCCTGCAGGAATCCCAGTGCTGCAGTTCCTGGCCTCCAGTTCCTCCCCACAGCCAGGACTGGAGGTTATGGGGTTGTCTACGGGGTTGTCTATGGGGTTCTGTGGGGTTTGGGCTCTACAGGGCCGTGTTCTGTGGGGTTCTGTGGGTCCGGGCGCTATGGGGCAGCCCCATAAGCACCCCAAACCCCCCTGCAGGCATCACGGCGCTCTGGTCCCTGGCCATCATCTCCTGGGAGCGCTGGTTCGTGGTGTGCAAACCCTTCGGGAACATCAAGTTCGACGGGAAGCTGGCGGTGGCCGGGGTCCTCTTCTCCTGGATCTGGTCCTGCGCCTGGACCGCGCCCCCCATCTTCGGCTGGAGCAGGTGGGGAGGGGTCCCCAGGGCCCGGGGAGGGGTCTAGGGGTGTCACAGAGGTGACACGAGTGTCCCCAGGGGATCACAGAGGT